TGTCAATGGTGTCATTAAAAACTGTAAATGCGGAGTTAAAAGCAATAGTATATTTAATATTTCATTTCATTGCAGTAAAATACCTATCATTACTTTCACTTTCTAGTAATCGGTCGGCATCAAGCTGTTTCCTGGGTAACTTGCTACCTTTAAATGGCACTCTGAGCTAACGTTAGGTAAACCGGCATATTTTCAACAAAGTAAAATAACAACTTTGTCTTTAATAAGAATAGAAAAAAAAGCCAGTGTCAGTTATTTTCGTATGTAACTTCCTATGAATAAGACTCGGCACCTGTTTGGGCGAGATGCATAAGCTTTAGCTCGCTGCGTAGCTAAATTAACATTAGTAGTTGCTAGCTAGCAAGCTAACCACATAGCTAGCTTGCTAGCAACAGACCACTCAAACAGAGAAAGGATGGGAACTGCTGTGTGGTTTAAACTACTTCATAACATGCCTGAACCATAAACACAAGAAGGTATTTTACCTGAATCAGACGACTTGGCCGCGCTGTGTTTCACAGGTTTCCCTAAACCGTGAAATTAATATATTTTAGCTAGCCTAGCTAGACCCGGGTACCAGCATCAGGAAGTGTCCAAGCCTCCAAGACTGTCAACGTCAACCAGTACGTGGCATTCATCGTGCGCATGCTCAGATGATCGGATCAAAGTGCGTTGTGACCGTTGTGACCAGATACTGTGCCTGTGATTGAATCACCTAATTGTAAATATGTTCAGTGCTGTAAAGCAGAGCTGGGAGAAGTACTCAGATCTTGGTACTAAGTACCATAGTGTAGGAATACTCTGTTACAAGTAAAAGTCCAAAATGTTACAGATGTAAAAGTACAAAAGTATTCGCATCAAAATATACTTAAAGTACCAACATAAAGTACTCATTATGCAAATGTACTCAATTCAAAATGATATATTTTATATTTTGATTATAATGATTGATGCATTAATGTATTTATCAAAGCTGGTAAAGGTGCAGCTAGTTTTAATTACTTAGTATGCTGCAGGGTAGCTTGTTTATGTTACTCCTGGTGTAACTAAAGTCTTCTTAGTTTTAAGTGTTACACCACTGGTGTAAAGTAACTAAGTACATCACTCAAGTACAGTACTTAAGTAGCCTACAAAGGTGTCATTTTCACTGGGGACATGTCCCCACCACTTTTTGAAAAGGCCAATTTTGTACCCACCACTTTTTAAAAGTATAACTTATACATGTTCTGAAAAATAACGTGCACAAAGAAATGTAATAAAAAATAACACTGGTTTAGTGTTTGCAGCAAACCATCACACACACTTCTGTGGAGATGCTCTCCAACATCCTCAATAATACACTGAATAAACGGGCAGTATGTTAAGGAGACATTTCTTGAAAAAGATATCCAGTAACACGCTTTATAATGCATATTTTATTCCGAAACACAGGAGTAATGAGCTGTCTTTCTGATGCTGAATGAGAAAACATGAACATATATCAGTACAGACAGCTATTCTTATCACCATCTCTATGTTTTAATAGCTGAAATGCATTCTGGAAAGGAGGTAATATGAGAGGTAGACTTACAGAAGAAACAGCATCCGCACATCTGTAGCAATAAACATAGTTCCTTTAAAGGTAGGGTCAGAAATTCTAATCCAATATATTTTCGTCAAATTCAGCAAAAACCTCCTCCTTGCTAGAAATATATATTCAGTGTGTGCTGAAAACAAATCTGGTGTTTGTACACCGCCCTGGCTCTGTAAATGGTATACAAAAAGTGTCTCACTCCCAGTTGCAATTCTTGAATTCATTTCACATAATTTTTAGAGTGATTACTTAACATTCCTTTTCCTAATTGACCAATTTCTTAGTTTAGATTCAAGCTGGTGATGAAGGGGGAAAAGTAGATGGTATTCCATGTTTATGGATGTTGCTTTGATGCCACTCCTGATTGTGTCTTCTTGCCACTCAAAATAAATTATGATGAACAAAAATAAAACGAGTTTTAACAAATAATAAATAAGCCAGGTTCCTGTACAGAAGAAACTGGTTTCTAATGTATGTTGTTTCATGAAATTAATTAATTATAAATAGACTTAAATAAGATTCATAAATTAAGTTAAAAACACAGTTTTTTCCCAGTCACAGCTTTTTCACTCGATTACTTCTTCTTCTTTTCCTGAGTGGAGTCAAACCAAGAGTCTAACAGCTTCTTCATGTAATATAACTGCCAGCCGTGTACTTGAACAGCAACCACCATGATGAGATACATAACAGTCACTGCAGAGAAGCCAAAAATGAAACGGTAGGCCTTTCCATGGCGGTAGAGCTGCTGCGCCACTGGAAACATCTCCATTCCACCGTAAATGAGTGGTGCCACAGAGAACAGCCCTGCGCTGATCATGGATAAGACCAGGTAACTTATATTGTTCTTTGGAAGGGATAGGGCACTGCAGAACAGTGGCAGGAGGCTGAGCAGGTAGGGGTACTCCCACTGGTACGGCATGGACACTATGTCATGGGACACCAGGTTGAAGTGGCTGACAGTCACTTGTGCCGCCACCAGCAGCCAGAGCAGGAAATGGACCAGGTTTAGCTTCCGCACCTCTGACTTCATGGGAGCACTGTAAAACCGATAACAGATAAAGAAGGTGTTAGCCATACTTGTTGTTACTGCCACTATCAGAAATGCATGACAGGTACTTGCCTCATCTGGTATTGTGGGACCGACACCCTCTCTTTGTACTTGAATTCACTTCCATTGGTGCCACCTGGTCTGAGACCAGCACGTGATGTCATGTTGAGGCAAACCTAAAGACAAAACACATTTTATTTCAGCAACCAACACTTGACAGACCGAAACCAACAATCATTTTTTATTATTTGTTCTATATTATGTTTGAAAATGATATGAAAAAGCCCATGACAATCTCATAAATTACAAAGTGATATCTACAAGGTGCTTGTTTTTTTACATCAGCCCAAAGCCAATATATTTTGAAGATATTAAAATGTATATAATTGATATTAATACATCTTCAAATCCTCACAACAGGAAGCTGGATTAGACGTTTGGCTTGAAAATGACTCAGCCCAAACGACCAATTATCAAAATAGTTTATTTGACTATTTAATGATTCCAGTATTTGCTTTAGACCCAAACCTAACATTTTACACTGTTAGTCTGCTCATTTTAACTACATCATGAGACTGGATTAAATGGCAGGTGTTACAACACAGACACGATGCTATCAGAAGAGAAAATCAAGTTAGCAATGACATAAAATCAACCATAGTACGTGAGACCGATCTGATTTTCTAATAACAAAGTGCTACCAGCTATTTAAAAAATAGTGGAGTAGAGTAATTAGAGGCAGATTAGTTGGGCTGTTATATCAAAGCAGGCTAGCGTGTTAGCTGCTGTTGCTAGCTAAGCTAATTCAGCATAACCTTTAAACAGATCTAGTTACGTTTTGTAGCTTACGACTGGCTTGTTTCTAAATTTAGCAAAAACAACACAGTGTGACACCATTTCAAATCTTAAAAGCTAACAATGCTTACCCTTACTGCTGCGTATTTCCGGAAGGTTTGGAAGAGCTCGTTGAATGAATCTGTACTAACAAAAGATGTGGTGACAGATGTTGCAAACCCCACTGCGCATGCGCTGTAGTCGATTAACTCCCCCCGCAGCATCAGCATCTCGTTTTACAGTTACCATGATCAGTAATGGAAGTAGAAGTAGATTTACATTACATAAGTACTGTACATTAGTACACGTTTGAGGCACTTGTACTTTACTTGAATATTTCAATTTGTGCTACTTAGTTATTCTACTCCACTACATCTTAGACGTAAATCGCGTACTTTTTAATTTATTTAATAACTGAAGTTACTTTGCAGATTTGGATTAATGATAGGAAATATAATGAACACTTAGGTAAGCCTATAGTTACACCTGGAGTAAATTCAGAAGCTACCCTGCAGCATACAAAGTAATTAAAACTAGCACCTTTACCAGCTTTGATAAACACATTAATGAATCAATAATAATAATCAAAACATATAATAAATGTATATTATTATGGAATGGGCCAATCTGCATAATGAGTATTTTTACATTTGGTACTTTACTATTTTGATGCTAATACTTTTGTAATTTATTTGAGTAACATTTTAATTGGTAACAAACTACATTTACAAAAAAAATAAGTGGTACTTGTACTTTACTTGGGTATTTTCATATTATGCTACTTTATACTTTTACTTCATACATTGTTTTGGCAAATGTTGTACCTTTTACTCCACTACATTTATTTGAAATGTTTAGTTACTTGTTGCTTCTTACAGTGAGCAAAAACATTTCAACCATATATTCTTTTTATTTAAACATTTTTTATTTAGAAAAACAACATGGTAACAAAACACGTGATAACAAAAGTGAAAAATTAAGACATTAAATCTTTGGTTACAACGACAATATTAGCACCGTGATAAAATAAGAAATATACATTGAGTTTTCCTTTAAAAGTTGTCATACTTTTTGTCCTTGTCATAGCATGCAAGGGATCGGCAGATTAAATAATAAATTATTGACATAACCATTCTTATGAATTGCTGCGACATTCAATACTTGCTTTGAGTTAATTGTGATAAAAATGTATTTGTATTGTCTTTAAACCTGGCAGCAAGACGTACCAAATGAAGCTCACCAAGGATGCTGTTAAAACTAAAACATGATTAATCTTACAAAACAGTTACAAAATACAATCAGTTTAATTTTAAATAAAAAGAGTAAGTAAGAATATATTTCATATGAATTTATTCCCAACATGATTTCCCTCTGAAAGAAACCTAAATGCAGAGTTATTTGATCATGATGGTAACCGAATGACACAGATAAGCCGTATACTGTTTTTGTCGTCTTTAATATATAGCGTATGGAGTGGTTTTCATAGGCCAGGGCAATATGGTATGTTAGTTTGACCTTTGCACTTTTGCACACACATTTTTTTTCTTTACACCCATAAATCTGTACGTAAAAACTAAAACATAAGATCAATATTACATTCTTACCTATTGAATCTCACTCATGGGAGCAATTGTCAGTCAGCCACATATATCATGGGTGTGATGTTTTTTATTTTGACTCCCTAATTTTTTGTGCTCATTCAAGAGCACATTTTTTGCCATAAAATAATTCACCACCAATACCAGTTGGCCCTATTATGCTGAGGCTTACACAAGTCATATAGGTTGCTCCCACATTGTAATTTGTAAATGTAATTATTTTTGGTAATCCACATGGGGGATTAAGAGATTGGTCCATGAAAAATCTGAATTAGTGTGTATACAATAAACCGTCTCCTAATACTGATTAATTTGCTGGTTATGACCACAAATGTGTTTACCTCCAAAACCTATACAAAATGCTTTAATGTAAACACTTTACTTTCCTATAAATCATTTCAGATGCTTGCAATTATCATACATTTATATTTATAATGAATGAATGCATACAAGCTTTAAATGTTGTACTGTAATGAATAAACCATCATGTTTTGAAATATTTTCACATTCTTCACCACAATGGGTAGCTGCCAGTTTTGAAGAGGTGCAGGAACAAAATGTGGCTTTGCGTAACTAGAATTGTTTTTTTTGTTGTTTTTTTGCATACACTTCACATGTACCCTTCTTCCCTTTCATATGTTTGTACAAAATGCAAATCGTTTTTTGTCTCTTCTTTTAATGCCTTTTTATATATTATATTTTCAAAGCTGTAAAAGAAAGAAACATTATTCTCCAAATTATGTTGCTATAAGGCTATAAAGTATAACAGCTGCTGCACATACAAACCTTCAGGCTTCTGATTTGTCCTCTCATCTCTGCTGATGAGATCAATATTTTGTTGATTTACCATTATATAAGACTGCTAAGTCTTTGGTGGTTTATAATAATGTTTATATTATACAAAATAGGCTCCCACTTTGATCTCATAGAAGTACCTCTATCTCTGTAGTTTGTGGCTTCACATTGGATATAACAAATATCCAGAGAATGAGGAGTGCACATACTGTCCAGCATAAAGTCCTGAGGCCTGATCTGAGGGCAGCTGAATATACACAGTGTCCCCCGGTTGTAGAGGTAGTACTGCACTTCCTGATGCTTGATCTAAGAAACCCTTTTTGTATTCATCATATGTATACATCACTGGCTCATTGTTCCTCATTAAAGCCACCCAGACATTAGCTCCTTTGCAATGAACGTGGTAGGCAAAGTAATAAATGCCGGGCATGTCACAGGTGAAGATTCCTGTTTCCGGGTTGTAGTTTTGGCGACCATTGTACAAGAGCTTGTCAAAGACGACTGGAGTGCCCACAGGTGGAAAGGGAGTGGTTATTACAGCTGTGAACGCTGGCATTTCCAGCCCACTGGCCCCCATTGCTTCTGCCCCGTTGCCTCCATACTTTCCCTTCTTTCCATAGCCGCCAGTCTTAACACCATCTAGTTCAGGGCCCATTTGAGAGAGCACTCCAGCGAACTCAGGGGACAGACCCGATGCACCAGTTGGGCCTGGTGGTCCAGGTAGGCCAGGCTGACCACGTTGTCCAGTTGGCCCTGATGGTCCCTCTTTCCCTTGGGGTCCTATGGGACCAGGAAGACCCGAATTTCCCTCACCTGCAATGCCTGGTGGACCAGGAACACCGCCATCTCCTTTTAAACCTGGGAGACCAGAAGGCCCAATTGGTCCTGCAGTGCCATCCATTCCAGGGATTCCTTTAGGACCTTGAGGTCCCACTGCACCAGGTAATCCACCTTGTCCTTTTGGCCCGGGAAGTCCTGGAGATCCAGGGTTACCAGGTAGACCTTTATGCCCTCCATCTCCTTTCGTTCCACCCGGTCCTGGTGGACCTCTTGGTCCTGGCTCTCCACGATCTCCAGGCAGACCATCCTTACCAGGTATCCCAGAGGCACCAGGGTTACCCTGGTCTCCTCCAAGCCCGTTAGGTCCTACTTCTCCACAATCTCCTTTAGAACCAGGTGCACCTAAACCACCTGGGGTTCCCAGAGGGCCAGGAGGACCTGGTGGACCATTTGGTCCAGGTGGTCCAAGCATACCAGGCAGGCCCCCGTAGCCTTTATCTCCTTTTGGTCCTGAAGGTCCAGGTTGTCCACCCATACCTTTATCACCTTTTGGTCCTAGGAACCCTGGTTTACCAAATCCAGGAAGTCCTGGCTTTCCTGGCAGACCTGGTGGTCCTGGATGACCTTTCCCACCTGGCATGCCTGGCTGTCCTGGCAGGCCATTTTGACCGGGTTTTCCATGACCCGGTAGACCTGGTGGGCCACGCTGTCCTCCTTCCCCAGGTGGCCCAGCTGGTCCTAGCTCCCCAGGATGACCTTTATCTCCTGATGGTCCGAGTGGCCCTGGTGCCCCATTCAAACCAGGTTTTCCAAAACCAGGCAGCCCTCTTGGGCCAGCAGGTCCTTGGGTCCCTGGGAGCCCTTTGTGACCAGGTTGTCCTGGCTGGCCTATCCCTTTGTCTCCTTTGGGTCCTGGTAATCCTGGTAGTCCTGGCAACCCTTTGTGACCTGGCTCTCCCTTGAGACCTGGTTGGCCAGGTAATCCCTGTCCCCCTGGTTTACCTATTCCTGGCAGCCCAGGTGGTCCTGGGGGACCCTGAGGCCCTGTCTGCCCAGCTGGCCCTTCCTCACCCCTAGGGCCCATTTCTCCTTGTGGTCCAGGCTCACCACTTCCTCCTGGCTTGCCTGCAAGTCCTGGCAAACCTAGTTTTCCAATTCCAGGCCCCCCTGGTGGACCTATTGGTCCTGGTCGTCCCTCGGGTCCGGGCTGTCCATTCCCTGAAGGTCCAGGAGGTCCTGCGGGTCCCTCAGCTCCAGGTGGCCCGGCTAGGCCAGGCTCTCCTTGGGGAATCCCCTCAGCGCCACTAGGGACTGTCTGACCTGGATAAATATTCAACAGGAAATTATTGATTTGATAATATATAGGCAATGCTTTGATTGTTAAGCCAGGGCATACATGACCATGACATGAACACTCAGTTGAAATAGAAAAACACAACAATGGTTCAATAAAAAAAAACATGTTTTGTGCCATTAATGTTCATTGGCAGGTAGTGTCACATTTGTCCAAGATGAGACTGATTTATATTTTTGGAAGTTTGTTGGTTACTGGGTGTACATGTTTTGATTTTCTCACCTTTGTCTTGGCCCCCATTATAGCCGTCTCCTTTATGAGCATTGCCTTTGCCCTTGTGCATGGGCATCTGGGGAATCTCCTTCCTGTAGTGGGGATACTGCATATACGGCACCTCTTTGCCAAGGTACTGTTGTTGGGGAAAGCCTTCTTTGCCCATTTGTTGGTGGTGTTGCACCGGCTGGTATTGCTGAGGGTGTTGCTTGTGTCCATAGTATGCCCCAGCAGTCATACAAGTAACTATTGCGAGCTGTAGCAGTGTCAGAAAGAAAGGGAGGGGAGGCATGGCCAAGGCCTGTATGGAAGGAAGACAAGACGAGGTGAGTGAGGGATCTGCATTTCATGTATATTACTAACTATGTCGATCAAACATTGGTATAGTGTTGGTTTAGCACTTCTTGAGAATCTCATTTGCCAAAGTAGGATGTTTGTCTCCCTCTGCTGGATTTACATTGGAGCTGCACTGACTTGTGACCAGTATTTGGAGTCGGTTGCGCTTATGTCATTGTGTCATCCACTCTATGTATTATCACAGACACAGGCAGGCATAAACCTGAACGTTTTAAATGTATTTTTCTGCTTCAATTTGGAATAAATGGGCTAGTTAATAGTTTGTGATGGATTGATTGAACTCTTAATGTTTACTAGTTATTTTAGTAAACATGTTAGGGGTTGTGTACATTACTGTTGTAAGGTTAAAAACGATTGTATCTGAGAAGGACACTTTGAAATGTGTGTTCATTTCAATTTTGGCCCTACATTAAAGTTCATCTGACAGAATAGAAGGGAGAGACACACAAAGAGTCACATATTTATTTTGAAAGATGTCCTGTTGAAAATATACACTTAAAGATATACTAAAGTACCAGTGCACTAATTAATCTGTCACACTGTCTACAAAATAATGTGATATTGAAACATTTGTATTTACATGTATTCAGACACACTGCTTTTTTTGCTCTTTTTACAAGTATGTGAAGTATTTCTGCCACCTTCCAGTTAACTCACTGGTGTGCACACACCACTCCTGCTGGTATTAATAGGAACATTCTTGTTCTTCGTACATTAGTGCAACATATTTAGTCAGATATCTGACACAGAAAAAAGGCAAAAAAAAGAAAGAAATCTCCTTAACGACACAAAAGTCGGAATGTGACACAGGAAGGCGGTTTGAGTATTTCATGAGGAATATCTAAAGCAACCTATAGATGCCTGTCAGAAGTACGAAAGTTCCCAAGTCTCAAATATACATTATATATTAAAAAAAAGTTGCGGTCCAAAAGTTGTGGTCTGCTTTAAATGGACAATAACAGAACGAGTCAAAGAGGTTTTCCTTGGCTCCAAAGCCAGTGAATACCTCACCATAAGCTGCTCCTCTGAGTGGCTACTCTTCAGTTTTTCTTTATAAGTGCCATTTCCATCCCAGTCTTGCATCTCCTGCCACACTCATTTTATTACAGCCAGCTCATCCGTGGTTCTTCTAATTCGCATCCTGAACCGCATCCTAAGTGTCCACTCCATCACTGGCTCTTTGGATCTTTTCCGCTCTTTGACCTTTTCTCATTGGACTGGTGATTTTGACATGGCCGTGCCACTTTCTCCCCCGATGAGAGCTGGCCTTTCAAATAAGCCCAGCTTGTTTCCACAGTGACAGGAGCCAGACATGCCAAAGGCCGTGGAGGACTGCTGCTTTTCCCAATAAGAACCGGGACCTAAGTTTGCCCACTGGGAGTAAGCTTTGGTCTATTCCCAGTATCCTAATCAACATTATGAGGTTGATAGACAATAGAGAAGTGAAGGAAATGAGTTGATGTGTGACAACCTGAGCTTCAAAAAAAAAAAATTCTGTGTTAAAGTTCCCACAACTGACAGTAGTAGGAAAACAATTACTATTAGGAGATGGTAGGAAAAAAAAGGTAATGAAAATAAATAAAAAGGTATAAAAATGTATAATGCTTTGATCCAAAAGATTACGAATGAAATACTTCTAACAGGTGAGGGTTATAGAAGAAAAAGGTTCCCTGATCCTAGCATTTTTCAGGTTAAAATATTCAGACACATTTTTGCCAACAAGTAAAGAAACGGAACAAAAGCATTTCAAGGCAACAATGTTTGTGGAAAAAGGAGCTAAACTTTCCCTTATTGACAGGATGACATTATTATCAAAATCCCTTTTGATCTATAAATCTATCCAAATCACTATTGAAATGTATGTGCATGCTCAATAAACATTGTTTATGAGCATTTGACCAGCTCAGGGTTGATTTCAGACTTTTCTCCACTTACAGAAGGTACGTGATTTACACTCTTTTTAAAAACTTCCTGTGATTGTACATTGTATAACTAGGGTTTTATTTGACTTGCATAACACATATTTACAGAATTAACTGAACATGTAAATATGAAAAGTTACATTTGAGAATACAGTGATGCGTAATATTACATATATATTAAAAGCTTTAAGAAAATAAATAGGACAGTTTTACTGCTTCTTTGGAACGTCCCAGCATGGTGTCGGTATGTGTGTGTGTGTGTGTGTGTGTGTATGTGTGTGTGTGTGTGTGTGTGTGTGTGTGTGTGTGTGTGTATGTATGGATGTATGTATGTATGTATGTATGTATGTATGTATGTATGTATGTATGTATGTATGTATGTATGTATGTATGTATGTATGTATGTATGTATGTATGTGTTTATTAAGGGGTTGGAAATAATCCGACAGATTTGTATGGCCTCAGATCAGAGGGGCCGTACAACGGGGGACTGTTCAGCGTCACATAGCAACACCGTTACGATGTCATGGAGGAGCTTTTCTCCAACACGTTATTCTACATAAGTGTTGCCTCCAGAGTGACTTGTTCACACAGCATGGCCACTTTCAGACATCTGACTCAAACATTAGCTAACAAGTTTCCATGTTTTAAATGAAGCATGCATTTAAACCAATGAGACTATAAAGAAGTCTATTGTGCCAAATTAACTTTCCTTTTAAAAACGTGAGTGTCATCCTTAATGATGCCAGACATGAAGTCACATATAAATGTTGCTGTGAGTAAGGTATTTGTGAGATTTAAAGTGTAATTTTGCGCATGTTTGTGTAAAAAACGATTTATCTTGTTTATTGATGTCTTTCTAATGACAAGAAGTCATTTGTAACAATGACAATCAGGAACACCAACCATGTTCTACAATTTCAGATATCACCCATTCAGTTCACACACACTCCATACTTTGTTTGTTCATCTGACGAAGAGATAGGTTGTTGTGCTCCCTATCTCTGTTTCTTATCCTATATCTAATAGAACTGCTCGGGTCTTGATAGATTGAGTGGGGAAGTTCATGAGATCTTTCTAGAGGGTTATCAAGAATAACTTTTATCCAATTACCTTTTCCCTCTCTGTCTGTGTCTGTGTATTCTCTTGTTCCGATTAACCCAGCCAAATCTTTTTTCTTGTTTTGTATCTATATCTACGCCGGGAACCGGAGTCGAGGCAGATCCTCTTGCTGTAGTCCTGTGTCTTGGATCCCCTATCCTGCGTTCTGGATTAAGTCGTGGACTTCGGGTCGTGGCTGAACCTGTCTCTGCGGTCCTGCCTTGGGTCTCGTCATGCTGCTTCCCTGATGGCTCCCACAGGATTGTAGCTGACATCCTCGTGGATTCATCTTCTTATTACAGACACATGCATTTCCTAACATTCGGTCTACCTACGCTGTAAAATGTATTATCTCTTCGATTTACACACGGCATCTATTGCACGTCTGTCCGTCCTGGGAGAGGGATCCCTCCTCTGTTGCTCTCCCTGAGGTTTCTCCCATTGTTTCCCCTTAAACTGTGGGGTTTTCTCTGGAAGTTTTTCCTTGTACGATGTGAGGGTCTAAGGACAGAGGGTGTCGTTTTTCTCATACTGATATTCTGAACAATCTGTGCTGTTGTATTTGCTGTAAAGTGTCTCTACTGTAGGCTATTTTTATTATATGTACAGCAATTTGGCTCGGCCAAAAATCGTTTATAAATGTGCTATATAAATAAAACTTGATTTGATAAGGCAGGAAAATACACACATACACATAACTTGAAGACAAAAGAAAAGCACACACACTGTGCAATGTGTATGTGTCATGTTGAATTAACATATATTTGTGCAATTATGGATAACAACTTGGAAAACAAGCTGAAACTGTTTCTGAAGAGCAATAACCTGATAAGTGTGCACAAATGTTACATTTGCTTTGCATTGCTCTGATATTTGCCTGGTTTGTATAGTTACATTTTTCGTTTTTATTTCACACAAGAGTCTATGGCAGTGTTTCTTAAACTTTTTCATACCAAGGACCACTTAACCAATAAAAAAACACTCACGGACCACCTAACTCCACAAATATCCAAAATCACATCGTTTTTCTAGAACAGATTACAAATCGCCTGAAAATGGTACAAACAAGTGGCAACATGTGTGATGAAGGTGTTGCGCTGGGCTATAAGTGAAACATAAGCTGGCTCCATTGCGGAGATATTCCCGCGAGAGTGCGTAAAACTTTAATTTATTACTTTATTTAAAATTTGAAATTGTACCAATATACTCACGGACCACTAGGGGGCGCTCACGGACCACCAGTGGTCCGCGGACCACACTTTGAGAAGCACTGGACTACTGCCATGCTAGCAGCCAGTTTTACAAGTTAGTGACTCTGTGAACTAAATAACGCCAAGGTGCTTACATTTTCAAAATGTTAATGCTAAAATGCTGATGCTTATGTTACCATGTTCAGCATCTCATCTTTTTAGCAGGTGAGAGCGCTTACATTAACCAATAAGCATTAAACACAAAGAACATATGATGGGAACGCCATTAGCTTTACTAGTAATTATATGAACCAAAGTTTCCACCGATTAACATCTTGACCAGATGATGACACCAGAGAAAGAGTCAGAGGATCACCAAATCCATCATGATTAATCATATAGGAACCATTAAACTCAGTCATCCATCCACGGAGGTATTTCATCCCTACATGCCGCTAGTGTTGCTTTAAAAGAAGTGTTACCAAATGTGTTCAGACCATGATCTTTGTACAGTATTTAAGCTTAAACAGTTGCACAGTGAAAAATAAATAATCTACATATCGTACAACTTTCAAACTACATCCATCACCTTTAGTAGGTCCTATCAATCAAGTGTAGGCCCACACATCAACTGTGTGACCACAGCCCAGGGGGAAATGGATGTACAAATATCTGCGGTCTGAATCCTAATTTTTCAACATCTGCTGCCAAATCATGTGTGTCTGGTCATA